GATACAGTTGAAAATTAAGCTGATCTTTTGGATGAATACAACAGGTAAATATATAAATAGTATATATTTATATATACATGCGATGGCTTAAAGGCTCAAGCGAGGAAAAAAAAATTACCAATAAACAGCTAACGTTTTAAATGAATAAGCAAAAATTATCGATGGATTGTGAATTAATTAAATCAATTTTAAAGAGGTAAATCAGTGGCAATGAACCGAAGAAGAGGGAAGACGAAGAAAAAAAAATATAACGGTAAACAATATTTTCAGATGATGATGATGAAGATGATGATGGTGATGGTGATAGGGATGATGATGATGATGGAAACTCGTATTTTATCTTGCAATTTAAGATGGATTCCAGTTCCAAGTTTGCACCGAATGAACCATATTAATGATATATATATAAATACATCAATTCTATTGACATGGTCCGATACCTTGATTGATTGAAGGAGATGAAGAGGATGATTGAGATGATGAAATCAATGATGAGATCAAGTGCACAGCAAGAAGCTAGAAAAAGATAAAAAGGGAGAGAGAGAGAGAAAAAAGTTAGTGAGAAAATGAATGAATGAGAAATAATATAATGAAAAGATGATGATGACGAGAGAGAAAGAAAGAGAAAAGAACAATAAGAAGAAGAGAAAAAAAGTCAAACAGAAGCCATTTTGATTGTGGGTAGAATTTACTTTCTTTCTTCTCTTCTAACTACCTGAAGATCTTGATTTTTTTTAGAGGAAAGATTAAGGTTTAGGTTCATCGTGTTGATAATTTTCTATTCTCCTTGTTTAAGGAGAGAAGATTTTTTTTCTAAATTAACAATTACCTTTTTAGAAATTAAGTCAAATTAAGGTGAAAGGTAGGGAAAGCAAAACCTGTTGCTAGTCACATAATGTTGTTGGTGGTTTGTTGTTGTTGTTGTTGTTGTTGATTTCTTGCTGCTCTTGTGACTACTACTGGATGATTGTTGATGATGAGGGTCAAACGATGGTGAAAGAGAGAGAGAGAGAGAGGAGAGATGTAGTTCAACAGGTAATATCTATCGATATACCGATGACTGGGAGAGGAAGAGAAAAAGTCAATCAATCGGGTAGATAAATATGATATTTAGGTAGAAATTCAATGATGAGAACGTAATCCATGAAAGAATTGTTATTGTGACATCTTTCTTTCCCAATTTCCAATTAAGGCCCAATTTGTGATATAATCGATTATTTTCACTGTACAATAGTTTCTCTAGAGCGCTTCTTGTTCGTTTGGATAGTGCAAGGGTAGGCCAAAGGAGAGAGCAACCAAATGAACAGCAACAGCATAAACATCCAACCAAAAGAAGACGAGCATTAATTGAATGGTGACTTTTCAATAGATTGTTAACTCGGTTAATGGTTCCTTCAAATTCTTCCCTTGAAACTTTACCAATTAAACTGGTTGGATATTCATTGGAGAATGTATTTGATAGGCCGAAAAGGGTCATATTACCGTTACCACGGATTGTTATCTGTTCCATAATTGGATAGTCAATGTCGGGCATTGAAATGATATCACTCTCATGGGAATGAGATTCATGGTGAGATTCAACTTCTTCAATAATATCATCAAATTGTTGTCTAAGTAAAAATGATGATGAACAGGGAACACTTTGTGCCATGGTTATTACACTTTTATCGATAAATACATAAAGAGTGAGGGAGAAACAGAGAGACTGGTTAGATTGGAGAGAAAATTATTAATTTAAGTAAAAATGAAACAATTTAATTCTCACACAGAGAAATAAATAAACAGAAATTGGGAAGAAAAATAACAAAAGATAAAATGTAAACAAAGAGATTGCGACAATAAAAAAGAAAGAGAAAAAGAAAGACCCAATTCTAGTTGTAAATCGAAACACTAGATGACACCACTTGTTCACTTTCTTTATTATTATTAACCCAAAGATTCAAAGAAACGAAGACATTTTGTAAGGTAATATAGTTAATCTAATTAATTGATTTGACAATTTACCTTGGGACAATTTGATGAATAAATTTGAATAAAGAATGGATCACAGATTCGTTTAGACCTTTGAAACAATTAAATTCAATATCGACAAAGAAAAAAAAGAAAACGAAAGTAGTGAATAGTAGTGACACCTATTGGTCAACCCGAATAGTTATTAGTCTTTCGAAAATCTAATAATGAGTTCGAAAGTCACCAGATGGCAGCATTAAAGTCGAATTGGAAACTTGTCCCAAATTCGTGAAACTTTATCTTTTTTTTGTCATTATTATTAAATTTCCGCTCTTTTTATATCGGTGGACATAAATATATATCAAATTCTATAAAAGAATCAATGGAAATGGAGATTTCCCAAGGGAATTAATGACTCTGGTTCATGGAAAAGTATATACACATAAAATAATTCTCGATAACAAGACTAATAATAATCAACCAAGAATAAATATATTCTCACATAATTAATCAGCAAATTCGATTTTTTCTCCTCTCTCTCTCTCTCTCTCTCTCTCTCTCTCTCTCTTCCTTAATCTTTACCAATAATACTAATCATTAACACACCTTTAAATACCCACCCTTAACCTTAACATTTAACACTTTTTTGTTACAACAGGTCGATAGTAAACCTTGACCTAATTGTTGATCACAATTGTTAATAAATATTATTGATGAATAATAAATAATAAGTTGATCATTTGATTTAGTTAGTATTTGATAAACGACTGTTAATCATACCTGATCAGGTAAAACATTAAAGAGAATCCTTAAAAGTACAAAAAAAGTTATATTATCACAACTCCCAGCAATTTAAATTTCACCATCGGATCAAATTAAAATAATCCTTTAAATTATCATCCCTATAATTTGTCCATCACAACAATCAGTAAATTGTTTTACCATAATAATAATCATATTATACATGTTTTCCTTTACCCTAACAACCTTGGCACCTTTTTGTTGATTATAATCTTGGACTGATTGTTTTTTTTTTATGATTATGATTATTATTTCATGGATTTAATCATCATCATCATCATCACCACCCTTTCAACACCATAATCACATAATCACATCATTAAACAACAATTTGATCATCTTTTAAGTTTCATCTTCGTGATTTAATGTTTTTTACACCTTAATTATTAACCACCACACCAACAATTTCACCATGAATTTAAATTGTCAATTTTTATCAACAAAAACAACAACAAGTTAAGGTCATCACACTTGATAATAATAATCAAATTAACAATCAACCATCACAATCATCATCTCCATATAATCATCATCATCATCAACTGGGTATGTTTATTTATCATAATTCACAATTTACTAATCATAGACAATGAATACCAATCAATCAATCAAAATTGAATTGTCTTGATTGTTAACAATTTAAATAAGAATCATATCTTATTCAATATCAATAGTTTTCAATATCAAATGGTCATCAGATATTCACTGAGAAGGTCAAGTAAACAAGTTAATTGTATTGTATTGAAAGTATTGATTACTGGTAATCACAATTATCGATGATAGTTAAGATCAAGATAACTTTTAATTGTTTGAATAATGTTTAAGGTAAATAGTGTTGATTAAATGTTTTGAAACAATCAACATGAAAAACTTAAATAGTTAAGATAATTGTTTGGGGTTAAGAAACAAATAAATGTCTCTTCCTTATAATCATCATCATTGTTATCATCATTCTGATCACAATTTAATCTTGATCATCATCTAGATGATAGTTATGAAGATGATGAGGATGATGAGGATGATAATAGATGAGGTAAAGCGGAAAATGTTTTACTATTATAAGTAAACATTAACATGGTTGAGACACTTTGAAAAGGTTGAATAAATATAATAGAGATCAAGTAAACGTAACGGTAAAAACTGTGATATAATCATAACAATCAGTTAATTATTATTAGTACAACTGATCATTTGTGTTTCATTTAAGCAAATTAAAAAACAAACTCTATACAAAAATCAAAGTTAATCAAGTTTCTAACTCGTAGTTACTCAAATAATTAACTTTTCATAAGGGATTGAGATCTAATTTCTCAGTTATTAATTTAGCAAGCCCATAATTGTGATTACTAAATTAACTGTGAAATTAACTTCATCTCTGCGTAGTTATTTAGTTAATTACCATTTTCTAAGAAATGTTTACAATTAGATCTAAAATTCATCATAACGGTGGTTCTAAAGGTCAGAACTTTCCATTGAACATTTACAATTAACTCGATTTCTCGAATATACCAAACATCTCGAAAAGAAAAGTTCTAACACACTCAGACTATTTTCGAACAGAAAAAAAATCTAAATTTCCATTTGAATCAAACTATTACCAAAGACAAGAGTATGAACTGTTCACTCAATTTATGATCGACGATTTCGAGTCCACAATCGTTACTATCGAAAGTTTTTCCTATGTATTCAAGTAGTAATACTTTCAGATTGAATGAATTTCAATCCTACAATTAGTATTAATTCCCAATCAGCATAATAAATCATTTACAGCTCAAATTACCAATGATTAAAAGCTACAATTTACTTAATTGTAAAATGAAAAGTTTGATATTTCAGTTAATTAACCGTAAATGATAATCATTGATCATATTATTGGTTAGTCGATGTTGAGAATAGCGAGCAAAAAAAAAGTTGATCATCTATCCAATCAGACAAAATAATCAATTGACAAGCTATCACAATTAGTCAATTTAGAGACAAGGTATCTAATTGATCAACTAATTACGATTAAAATATAAAGTGTTTCAAAAAAAAACCTGTAAAGAGATTACAGGTAAACGGTATCATTTACCGTTATGTTTACATCAACAACATGAAAGATTCTGGAAAACAGGTTTATCATTTATCATCATGATTCTTTCTCTCTCTCTTGACTCTTTCTTTTTTCCTGGTACCTCCTTTCTCTCCCCCTGTCTCTCTCTCTCTCTCTCTTTCTCTCTCACCTTCATCTTTCTTCATCTTCTACTTGATTTTTTGGTGAGTTTGTTGTAACTTGCTGATAGTATTTTAAGTTTCTGATTGAACCCTGATTCTAATTCTGGTGTTGAAATGAATTCCGTAGAAAAATACCAAATCCATCATCATGAACACCAACAGTAAATTACTCTAATTAATCTCAACCTGAATTAATCACTTACCTCTCTCATCTTAATCCTAATCCATTGTTGATATTTTTGTTTCTCACTTGATTTCCTAATCCCTTTTTTTTTACAATCAACAATTGTGTTCCAACAATTAAATGGACTTAACAAAAATAATTCTGATAACAATGAACTCTAATAATTGTCTCTCTTGGATTAGCTGATGTTAATTGTGCTTCTTAATTAATCTTGGACATTTGCTCAGCATCCTCATCAAGGTAAAACCTTTTTGCTATTATTTTTACTATTATTACAATGATTATTTCAATTATGACAATTTGGTGACATTTCAATTGATTCATATTATAAACATTTCTCAGGTAAATTAATCTACTCGTTAATTGTGTCATATTTGATCAACTGTGTTGATAGATTACTAATTATTTCATCTCCATTGTTACACAACAATATTAGTCAATTATACTTGTAATTATTTGATTGATATTGATGTTGATTATCATTATTATCAAAGATTAATCAACAGGAATCAACGACAATTTAAAAAAAAATGAAAGAGACAACAACTAGACATGTTAATCTATTGATGACAGTTTATTGGATTTACTAATAATGATTGTTGATTGAATCCATTAAGATGATTTCGTTGATTTAATTGAGTTTATTTTCTGAGAAATGGTGAAACTAAATTATCTCAATGAATCAATGAAACGATCAAGATAATCAAGGAACTAGAAATGATAAGGTCAAGATAAATAAGATTATATCAGTTGATAGCATTTTCTGATGAAATTTTCATCAACTTGTTCTGAATTTTTCACTCATCTTTCATCATGATCACTCTCTCATCATGATAATGATGTTGATGATCCATTGACCAACATACAAATCTAACTCTAATTGGTGATGAGTATCATTTCATTCACCAATTATATAGTAATAATTTATTAATTTTCCAGGTAAAAAAATGTGAAATTGTTTCAATCGTCAGGTTAAAATGAATTTTGAAGACCATGAGGTTTACAATCAATTTGAATTGGACATTTCAGCTAATCAGCTTATTGATGAGATAAACTTATTGAGCACTTATTGGAAATCAATCTAATAGAAAACTTTGATAGTCTGGAATTGTATAATAACGACCGGAAATGAAAAGAAAAGAGGACAGAAGATGCAAAAAGATGATGATGATGATGATGAGCAAGTAAGAGAAAGAAAGAAAGACAGACAAAAAAGACAGTAAAAAAAGCCGGTTTATGGGGCCAATTGATTTCATCGAAAAAGTGATATTGAGACCAGTTTTTTTCTTCTTCTCTTTCTTTTCTTTCTCTTTTCCTTTACTCCCTCACTCCTTCAATTTCTCTCATCATCATCATCATCATCATCACCATATTCAGCTCACTCTAAGGTGATTACATGAGACTATTGATCCATATGGTGCGTTGATGAATGGCCTTTGTATGAGGTACGCTTTTATGACGACGACGATGACGACGACGATGATGATTAGTGATGATGATGATGATGATGATAATGATTGTTGAAAATATTTGATATCTTTTACCTGTTCTAACGCGTCCCCTTTTCTTGTAAAGTGATGATCATTGATGACAATCTTTTAACATTATAACTTCAATTAGTTTACCTGATAATGGTAATTATCATCTATTCGAGCGAATCGAAATGAAAATACTCTATATATTATCAATCGATGACGATGATACAGCATACATAATGATGATGATGATGATGATGATAACATTCAACGTCTCATCTTGTTTGACATGATCGCCATCATCTCATTCACTCTTCATTCTCCGGTCGAAGTTCTCATGTTGGTCAAGACGTGACTCGTATCTTTAGTTTAAATCAATTTAAAATTCACTTATAAACCAATTATAGTGCATTTCAATACTATACAACCATCTTTGCCCTTAGGCCTTTAAAATTGAGTCTTAATTTTTTCTCAATCGCCATTTCAGTTTCTGACGTTTATTATTATTATTTTACTCTTCTTTTTCTTTTCAGGCTATACATTCATATATCTATCTTGTTGTTATTGAACATTCTGATGATGAAGATGATGATTAACTTGACTAATATAATTACGCAATCAGATATCGTAACGATAATAATAATAATAGTATAACGTTACAACGAAACCTAACGTAGTAAAACTGTACGAACGATTTGTAAAACTTTTTGATTCATTCGAAAATCTAAAACCAAATCATCAAGCTCGTCTCTCTCTCTCTCTCTCTCTCTCTCTCTCTCTCTCTCTTCTCTCATCTCTCATCTTCATCTCTCATCTTCATCCTCATCTTCAGTTACTGTACAAAAAAACCATATAATATAAAACTAATAATATAATAATGATACCGATGATAATATATTTATATATTATAAATAATCACCATCCACACAAACTCAATATAAAAAAGCAGAAAATTTTAGTTACAACTTTTTTTTTTTAATTTTCTTATATTCTAATAATTATTATTATTATAAATATAATCAAATAAAAGTTATTTATTTATATTTTATATATATTAATACAAACGCCCAGCATTTAACGCAATTTATATTATTATTCAATTAAATATTAAAGTTATTAGTTAATATATGAGTTTGTTAATAGGAAATTGATTGGGAAAATATAAACTTATTGATTTGGTGGTGAAAGCAAAAAAAGTCAAAATTGATTATTGTTTTCTGTTGTTGTTGTTGATTGTAAATAATTTAACAATTTAAATTGTTGATTATCTATTATTTTGTTAATGATTATGATGATGTTTGTATCTATTGATTGATGTATCCATTTCTTAATCATGTTTAATCATCAGATTGTTAACTTTTAAATGATCATGTTAATGATAATAAGAATTTAAGTTTTTTTTTATTTATCAGAATTGAATTGAATCATTAACTTTTATTTATTTTGTATTATTTTCAATCATCATTATTGTTATTATTATATTGTTACTGTTGATTGTTGATTGTTGATCTTTGATTATTGTGATGAAGACAAGATGATTAAGGTGATTAAGATGTTGATTATTAAGGTTTGGGAGTGTGACAAAGTTTTTGTTTTTGTTTTCTTCTTGTTGATCAGGATGAGGATTAAATAATTAAACCATCTCAACGATTATCATATGAGTTCAAGGGTGTTTGATTGATTGGCTACAATTACATTCAGATTATCTATTGATTATCTTGTTGGATAATCTCATTGATGACAATGATGATTAAAATGTTTCACTTGATTGGTTTGCTATTTTTTTGCACTTACCTTAATGAACGAAGTAGGAAATTGATAAGTTTTGACAATGAATATGAAGAGAAAAAAGTTTTTCATTCAAAAAAAACGATAATTGATCATTGATTATATTTCTCAATGATGATGATGATGATGATAAACATGATGATGGTGATGATGTTAATCTTAGTGTTTGGGTTAACCGATTGGGTTGGATGAAGGGGTTTGATGTTAGCTAGGAAAAGGTATGAAAAATGATGATATTGATGATAAAATGGGAGTTGGTGCATAACGAATGTCCCAGAAAAGTACTTACCTTTCATGATTATTATTATAACGGTAATTTTGTCTTACTACAGGTAAATGCAAAATAGAGAGAGAGAGAGAGAGAGAGAGAGACGTCAAAGTGTCATGAACGCTGTGCGTACATAATTGTAGGTAAAAGGTGAAGATGATGAGAAGAAGATGATGATGATGATGATGAGTGTGAGTTGTATTAACACACTGGCCTTTTGCTTTGGTCCGATAGTTTAATTGATTGAAGTTCAAACAAAGCCAAAAAAAGGAACCACGATCATGATGATTATTGAGTCATTAAGATTGTCATTTAAAGAGACACCAGAGATGACTGAATAATGTTGATCATCATCATCATCATCTCATCAATGTTGACAGTTGTCAATTAACAGTTAATATGTTTACATGCCTCGATAATTAATCATGATTCAATTTCCTACCTATCCTACTTACCTGAGCTCCCATGTCCATCAAGGTAATAAAAAAAAGGTCAGTATTTGTCTTGTTAACAAATAAGAAACTTTTTTTTTACTCTCATTTATATATTCACACTTTTTCAGGCTCGAGCATTTCATCATGTAACCTGTTGATTTGTTAGCTTGTTTTTTAACTGTATTTTTCCTTCATCACTTACATCAAACACCAAATCATGATCATCAACATGATGATTTCTCATTTTTTCTTTATCCTCATCATCATCATCATCATCATCTTGTCCTTTAGTTTTATGAGTTAATCCAAACGACTATCTGATTGTTGATATTGAGTTTTTTTTCTTCTTTCTTCTAAATTCATCATAATAGTTAAAACTACTTGAAAAAAGTTCTGAAATTAGGTGAAACCCTGTTTTTCATCCTCATCTTCATTTCTATCATCATCTTTTTTATCCTTATTATTATTATTTCTTAAAATGTAACAAGTTTTTTAACTTTAACCGGATCACGATTAACATCTTATTTCTATCAAATTTCTTCCCTCTTATTTCTCAATGATATTCGATGATGATCATGATGAGGATGATAATTCTCTTTCATCTCATCATCATTCTCATCATCTTTGCTCATCATCACAATCTTTTTCTCTTTTCCTATCTTTAGAATGAAAAACCCGAAGGGTAAGCGAGAGAGAGAGAGAGAGAAAACTATTAGCAAATCGAGTTTATTAAATCCCGAAAAACTGATAACTCTCATTGATTCCAATATTATTTAAACTCTTAATTCCCTCAACTGTTAACTAATCAACTGATAACCCATTTGCAATTAAGAAGATGATGAAGAAAAAAACTTTTATCATCATTTAGATTTTGTAAATCAACAATTTAGATTTTGTTTTCTTTTTCTTTCCTCAACTAATCAACAACAATCATTAATCAACTCCAATCAAGACAAAAAAGTGATACACTTTTTTCAAAGTTTACCTTTGGTTGGTCATCTTCATCTTCATCATCCTCATCATCTTCCTCATGTATCATACTGCTTAAGGATATTGTATCTGAGTACTTTGAACAGCTAATCCAACTTAATTTGACATTTCCTTTTCCGTTCAGGTATCAATACAAGAGCAAAGTTTTTTAATTAAAACGCTTTTGCCTCATTAATCAATAAGTACAATTATTACTTAGGATTAAGCTTAATCCATTTCAATCCTGTTATTTATTTATATTATATTACAAAAAAAACTATCGGAAACAATTAATCATCAATGTCA